TAAGTTCCTGTGTGTCAATACTGCGTCCCTAGCCCAGGGAGTAGATGAACAAGGAAAGCGCTGGCAGAGCATCATAAAAGCTGAACACAAAACCTGAGCTTTGCTACTTTGCAGCAGCAGCAGCTGACACCTCTGGTGTTTTGAGACCCCCTGCTGGAAGATAGCCTGATTGGGACTGTGAATTTAGATTTTGGAGGCTAAAGACGTGTCTCTCTTTACATCTAGGTGAAGGAAGTGTTTAAGGCGTCACCTTTCCTTGTAGGGGACGACTGCGTGTCCATCATGAACGGAACCGATGAAGGTAGAGTTGCCAGAGCGTTCTGTGCGAGGAGGCTCTCGGGGTGAGGCGGCCGTGCTCAGGGCCGCTGGGAGCACTCAGCTCTCTCGGGGTCAGACGCACGGATGGACAGGACTGAGCGACCATCCCATTCCAGTTCGCAGTTTAACTATCTCCGAGGGTCTTCTTGGAGCCAGTATTAGATTCTCACCTTGACTAGCACAGATGCAGTTTCTAAAAATAATCATTCTTTCCATTTTAAGAGCATTTAAAGAGAATGCCCAATTACTACCATGTTTCCAATGTTACTGTTGCATTGTTTATCCCAAGATACACTTAGTAAGGTTCCTCACCAGCCCCTGGCTTTAAATATGACTCTAAGAGTTTGTTTGTATGGGGAGGGAAAGGGGACGTTTGGTTCTCTTTTAGCCTCTTCCAAAAAGAGGAAGTTGAGAAAGGAGTGAGAGATGTGACATTTGGCAGAGTATTCTAGTTTTTTAGGATGGTACCTTCTAAAACTGTCTGCCAGAAGCCACTAGATGGCATGACTCAATCTTCCCTCTGTCCCTGATCTGAAGGCGGAGGGTAGTGAGGAAGTGGTCAGTTTGCGCTCCTGAAACCTAAAGGTAGCACCTGCGTCCGTATGTTGTCCACAGCCCCTCGCGTGACTCAGTGCTCTTTGTGACTCTCTCGTAGGCATTTCAGCCTGGATCACCGTCAACTTCCTAACAGGTACATCCACTTCATCATGGAGGCTAACAGCTCAGACCCCATTCTTGAGAGCAGGGGCCTCGTTTTTACTCTTTAAAATACCCCCTCGGGGTTTTGCCAAGTTCTGGCTCAGAGTAGGTAGTTGGAATGGGTGGGGTGTCCGCCTGGCTTGGCAGGGCCGGCGTAGAGTTCACAGACGTATGTGCCCAGGAAGGGGTGCTCTCCTCTCCGCAGTCCCGGTGGGTTCCCCGCACGCGCTACCCTCCTCCTGCAGCAGCAGCCGCCGGGGCCCTGTCCTCTCATTTCTGGGAAGTCAGGAATAAAACTGGTCACTTCGAATATTAAACATGATGTACATGCTGATCACCTTCTAACTGAATCCTCGACAGCAGGTAGAACAGGGGGCAGAAACCTCTGTTTTTGGAACCAGGCAGCAAGGAGTTACTTTTCTTAATCAGTACCTGTGGAGTTTTGCCCCTTTGTAAAATGATGGAAAAGACCAATGTGGCTGACACGTATATAGAAAAGAAAGCCGTTTCCTCGCCCCTTGGGGAATGGAGAACCCTGTTAAGTGACACATCAGGAGCCTAGCCTCCGAACTGGGGTGGGGGGCAGGGGGCATGGCTGGGGCCTGTGGGGGTATCGGGGAAGTCAGCGTCTCCGAGCAGGAGCAGCAGGTGTGGCCGGCCCAGCATCTCTGCCACAGCCAGTGGAGCCATTGTTATGTCTGGAGCCTAGCCTCCAAGCTGGGGTGGGGGGTGGGGGGCATGGCTGGGGCCTGTGGGGGTATCGGGGAAGTCAGTGTCTCCGAGCAGGAGCAGCAGGTGTGGCCGGCCCAGCATCTCTGCCACAGCCAGTGGAGCCATTGTTATGTCTCTTAAACACGGTGCGTCTTTATGTGAAGAGTTTCAAATAGCTGCTGCTGCTTCTGTTTTTGTTTCCACTGAAGGGCCAGGCTTCTAACCTTCCCTTCCTTGTCTGCTGTACTCATCTGTTTACTAACCTGACAGTGCTGGGTTGGTTTCTCCTCCTGTGCTCCAGGCAGTTTGAAATCCCCAGGAAGCAACAGTGTCGGCATGCTGGATTTGGGCGGAGGGTCCACGCAGATCACCTTCCTTCCGAGAGTTGAGGTAACCAGCCCCTGCGGGGGTCCCACCCTCCCAGGCTCCCTCCCCGGGGAGGCCCGGAGACCTGGTGGCTCTGGGCCCAGGCCATCAGATCCTCATAGGAGGGCCAGATCCATTCAGTTAACGCTGCTTAGTTTGATTTAACGCTCCCTGGAAAAAATGGAAAATGTGTGGGGTGATAGAGTATGTACTACTGGAACCCCTTGGGCCAGAGAATGTGAAGTGGGCCCTCTCCTTCCCTCCCTGACAGTACCCTCCTCCTCCACCATTTTTTATATTATTAGCTTTAGTGTTCAGCAGAAGAGCACTTAGGAAATTTACTCATCATTGTCTTGGTTGGGCCATATTTGTCAGAATCAGTTAATGTTATTCATAAGAAGGAAAAACCTACTTTTCGGATGTTTCGTTTTTATTCTTGCTCCAATGAAAAGCTTAACTTGGCTTAATGAACAGCTATTTTAATTGAATACATCTGTGAATATCCTTGTGCTTTGAAACAAGTTGAGGAAGTTGGGGACAGTTTTCTAGAAAGGCCAGCAGGAAGGGGAGTAACCCTCATGTTCTTCCCCAGGACACCCTTCGGACTTCCCCACCCGGCTACCTGACGTCACTGCAGATTTTTAATAGGACCTACAAGCTCTATTCCTACAGGTGTGTCTTCGGGAGTGAGGGTGGAGAGGGTGACCATCCAGGCACAGAGCTCAGCTAGCGCTGCCTGGCCTCCCCCGTGCCTCCAACTCCTGCCTGTAGGGTGACCGGAGTGTTCAGTCACAGACACAGACACGCCAGGTCCCGGGGACCCCCTGCTGTGGACCCACCTGGACCTTCTCCCTCCTGCTTTCTCCCTCCATTTTTCAGTTTTCCTACAGTAAAATAACATTTCTTCTTTTGTTCTTATTCTGCACCCCCTGCTGTGGACCCACCTGGACCTTCTCCCTCCTCCTGCTTTCTCCTTCCATTTTTCAGTTTTTCTACAGCAAAATGACATTTCTTCTTTTGTTCTTATTCTGTTCTGCTTTGGAGGAGGTTTTGAAGAAGTGGGGAAGGGCCCATGGATTGTGCAGGAATTTTCTGGACCATCTAGTGCACATGGCGCCTTCAGTAGATTCTTTCTGTAACACACACGTGCACGATAAAGATCAGGGCTGCTGCGTTCACCAGCGTCCACAGCTCCCAGACAAGCTCCTGTCACGTAATAGGCCTTCATGTGTTGAACTAATTAGCTGAACGCTCTAAACTTCGCAAAGGGAGACTTCCAGAAGAAGCAGAAAAGCCATGGTTTCCTCCCTTTCCCACTTGTTTTGGATCCAGCCAGGTGAATGTATTAGAATCCGAGTAGGAGATGGCAGGCCAACCCTCACCCAGGATTTTCTTCCCACAGCTACCTGGGGCTCGGATTGATGTCGGCTCGGCTGGCGATTCTGGGCGGCACAGAGGGGAAGCCTGGTAAGTGGAATGCAATCTTGAGAGCCCTCCTGGCCCAGCAGGCACGGGGAGTCCTGTGGGAGTGGAGCCCCTTCTCCTGCCCGTGCCTCCACTGACCCCTGGCCTGGCTTCCGGTCTGCCCTCCCTGCCGGTAGGACTCGGGGAGCCCAGAAGGGACATGTGTAGAAGGATGTACCCCAGATCTTGTCAGGGGCACTCAGACGGGACGCAGGCTAGTGTGTTTTACCTGTGTGCGTTCCAAGTTATTTTTCCAAAGAAAAAAATGCTAGTAAACTCATCTCCGAAATGCTGAGCTGGGGGATTTTAGGATCCAAATAACAGTCGTCACTTATATTTGGAGTCTGTTTTAAGGATTTGAAGAGAACCTTATTCTTCAGGACAGTGTGGGAGGGGCCCCAAGGAGGTGTGATGCGGGCTGTTGCAGTGGGGCTGGGGGACTTGTCCTCATTCGCAGTGATTCTCGCCTTGTGAGAACGTCCCTCTGTCTTCTCTTGCTTCATCATAAAGCATGGTCGTGGCTCTTCTTCCAGACGTCGTGTTGGACTAGAGACGAAGTCTGTCTGGTCAGGTTATTAAAGTCACATTTACTCCCAACTTTCCTGCCCCCCCCCCCATGGGTCTGGCGGAGGAGAAGCCTGTCATTGGCCGGCAGTACATGTGAATTCTCTGAGATCTTAGGGATCACTGTGTCCCAATTTGGGCATAGGACACAGTTCCAAGGCCAGCATCTCCCTATCCACCCTGATGACATTTGCTGGAGTCCCAAAGGCCTTGACCCAGGCCTCGGGGTCCCAACTTGTGCGTGTGAGCCCACTCGTGTTCTCAGCCACACCCCCTCCCTTGGCCCTGCCTCTCTGGGCCCCACCTCTCGCCCAGCCCCAGCCCAGCTCTTCTACCCTCTTTCAAGGACCTGGTTGTCTGACACGATGGGAATGTTCATCTGAAATTTTTTCTTTTGGTACATCCTGTTTCCATTCATTTCTTTCAAATTCTGGTGTTTCACCTCGTGATGATAATCCCCTTTGTTGCAAACCAAAAGTACGTCCACGTCTCAGACACACCTGTGACCTTCACTCTGGGGCCAGAAAACACTAGCCAACAAGAAGGCAAGCACCAGTTTGCCGTCCTTGGCTGATACAGAGCAGCTGGGAGGCCACTGGTCTTGACAGGCCACACAAGTGGGGGCCGTGACACCCACCAAGTGGGTGTACTTCAGAGGATGAGTCTCCCTGTTGTATTATCCGTTGTTGCGCAGCAGGTCACCCACCAAACTGAGTGGTTGCACTCAGTACATTTTATTGTATCTCATGAATCCACAGGCTTCGACTGGGTGACACCTGTACTGGAGTCCCTGGGGCCCCATGTGGTGGCATGTAGGGTGGCTGGGCTGCATGTCTGCCCCCCGGCACTCCTCCACGTGGCCTCTATCCCAGCAGAGCAGCCTGTGTTCTCCCTGGAGGCTCAGAGGAAAGAAGACTGCCTGAGTCACAGGACATCGTGTCCTGCACCTTCTGTTGGTGAAAGTGGACTCAGGCAGGGACAGGGACCCACTTTTCAGTGGAAGACCAGCACGCACACCCTCAAGGGGTGGCATTGCGGGGCCAGCCTTGGAGGCCAGCCACCACGTTTCCTTGGCTAATTATGGGGCCCCAGCTTTGGGGGAGCAGCACAGACCTGTGGCAGGGGAGCAGTATCCTGGCCCTGCCTCGGTCATCCATAAACTGGGTAACGACTCCCCTTCTCTTAGGGTCCTGTGACAATCCACCGAGCAGCACCAGGCCTGTTGCCTGGAACCCCACGCACACCCTCAAGGGGTGGCATTGCGGGGCCAGCCTTGGAGGCCAGCCACCACGTTTCCTTGGCTAATTATGGGGCCCCAGCTTTGGGGGAGCAGCACAGACCTGTGGCAGGGTAGCAGTATCCTGGCCCTGCCTCGGTCATCCATAAACTGGGTAACGACTGCTCCCCTTCTCTTAGGGTCCTGTGACAATCCACTGAGCAGCACCAGGCCTGGTGCCTGGAACCTCAAAGCCCCTCAGGGAATGTGAGCTGGGAGCGGCCATGTCTCCAGGGCAGATGAGGCTCTGCTCCGGCCTCTCTGATAAAGGCTCTACCCGGCGCTGGCCTGGACACTCCCATGAGTCGGGTCTCTCCTGTACCCTCCGTGCCTGTAGTCCTGGCCTAAAATATTCTGTCCCTTGGGCCTCCCCTCAGTGGAGTCGTGTCTCAGCTCCATGCAGTGCCCTGGTCTTGCAGTGACCATGTGCTTTTCTTCTCTTTTTATTTCAGTGGAGGGTGGAAAGGAGTTGGTCAGTCCCTGTCTGGCTCCCAGTTTCAAAGGAGAGTGGGAACATGCTGAAATAACGTACAGACTTTCCGGACAGAAGGCAGGTACTGTGTGGATTTACCCTTCATCGTGGGGGAGAAGGGTTAACGGTGCAGCCCGCCCCTTCCGAGGACCTCTGAGAGCAGGGAGACTGTCATCACACCTTTACAGACGAGCTTGCACTTGTCCTTGAAATGGAGGCGCCCTTTGAACCTCATCAGGACTCTGGGAGGCCCTTGCCGGCCCACTGGGATCCATCAGCTCCCCGAGGTCTCTGCCCAAGGCTTCTTGTCTGTTGCCAGGTGTTTTCTTTCAAGGGGCCAGGTCTCCCAACAAGCCCCAGTGAGAAAGGCCTGAGCATCCCTAGGACAGTCAGCAAGCCCGTTTCTGAGCACAGGGAGCGATGGCTTCTCCTTCCCTTCCTCCTCCAAGACGGGAGGCTCACTCAGGCTGCAGGGTCCCCGAAGGCCTGCGACAGGGCCTTGCCAGCCTGGCCCCTCTCCCCCCACATGGTCTCGGTCGCTCTGTGCACTGCAGTGTCATCTTAAGGAAGTATTGGAATGTTGTTCCCAGGCTGGACATGTGGTCCTGAGGCTTGTCTGCCTTTGGTGACAAGAGTTGTGTCTACTCTTCTGACACCAAATGTGTGGGTTTTCTACACCAATCAGTTCTCAAAACAATTGATTAAATCTTTGGCCGTTGGTGATAAGTCAGTCCCTAGTCCCTTGCCCCTCCCCGGATGTTGGGGTTGGGAAGTTCCAAACCTCATATCACATGGTAGGTTCCTCTGACAATCACCCCCCACCCTGTAGCCTGGGGACCCACCAAGAGTCACCTTATTAGCATAAACTCGGGTCTGCTTGAAAGGAGCTTATTATGAATGGCAGATGTCCCTCCTCACCCCCGCTTCCCCCTTTCTCTCCATCACTCAGAATCTTACGAGGGATTTAGGAGCTCTGTATCAGAAACCAGGAACAAGACCAAATACATTTCTTAATATCCAGTGGGTGTGCGGGTCACTGTGACTCAGCCACTGTGCACATGCCGTTTGTTGGCCCTGCTGCAGCTACTGGCACACAGTGCACAGTGCAGGCAAGGCTGTGCCCAGGAGGAGTGGGAGGGGTCAGGCAGTAAAACCCATGGGAAAGCGCTTTGAAGAAAAATAAAACAGAAGGAGGAGATGGGGTGCCGAAGGAGAGATTGCTGTTTTAGATAAGACAACCAGGGGATACTTGAGAGCAGATAGGAAGAGATTCGGAGTGAGCCACCAAATCTAAAGCTGAGGGAACAGCGTGTGCAGAGGCCCTGGGGCAGCCGCTGTGTTTACAGAACCAGGAGGAGGTAGTGTGACTGGTCCGGTCTGAAGGGCAAGGGGTGGCCTGTGGGCCTGGAGAGGACTGAATGGGCTGCCCTTGGGTGGTGGGACAGGTTTTGGGAAAGGAGGAAGGGAAACTGGTTCGGGCATGGGCTGTAGGCATTTAACCCCTTAACTCCTGGGCCCGTGTTCTCCTTCCAAGCAAGGAGTTAGCGGCCAGCCTGTGAGCATGGGCAGGTGCCTGTTAGGCCTCCGTTTCCTCGTCTGTGACACAAGGAGAGTGCAGGCCTCACCTCCACGGTGTCGGGTGAGACGGAGGAAGACGCTGCACGTTCAGAACTCAGCACGGGGCTGGCAGAGGGCGAGTGGAGGGTAAACTGCACACTTGAGCCCATTGGGCTGTGAGGATGGCTGCATGGGGCCCAGCGGAGGCTGGTGTCCTGCAGTCGGTTTCCCTCCCTTGATCAGAGCCGTGGCCCTGAGAGGTGCTATTGACGGGTATGGTGCTAGCGTGCGCCGACCTGGGGTGGTGTCTGCAGGCTCCTGGTCCCACCTCCCCCTCCCGGTCAGACTCAGGTCGCTGGGAAAGGGGCTCAGGGCCTGTGCTTGGGTACTAGGAGCCCACTGACGGCTGGCCCTGCTTTTGCTTTGCCCAGCAGTGAACCTCTACCAGCCATGTGCCCGCAGAGTGTCTGAGGTCCTTCAGAATAAAGTGCACAGGACAGAAGAAGTGAAGGACGTGGATTTTTATGCTTTTTCCTACTATTATGACCTTGCAGCAAATGTTGGCCTCATAGGTAAGGGGGGCTGGGCCAGGAGCTCATCGGTAAGGTGTAGACCCTGGGCAGAGAGGCTCTGTCGGGGAGCAGCTGTGCTGCCAATCACCTCGGGGCAAGAGAAGTGGACTGACTGGGGAGGGCAGGGGTCTTGTCATCAAATAAGAGGGAATAAGCCCCCTTTTAAATAAATAAATAACTCAATTCTTTGAGCCACTTAGTAGGTATGTTGGTGCAGGAGCAGTCACTTCTGCTCTGAGGCAGGACTGGCTCACCTAACTCAGACCCACCCTCCTGCCTGGTTCCTGAGTCTCTGGCTGATGGAGCCCTTTGTGACTCAGCCAGGCAGCCGTGTGTCCCTGGCTGGCCCCCAGGCTGCGCTGGGGAGAGGTCAGCCGATGCCACTGGGGACCCTGAGGAGCCTTTAGGGTCTCTCCGACTACTCCACACCCCAGAGTGCAGTCGGGACAGGCCATGTCATGTGGAGTTTGCCAAGGGGTGGTGCTTAGACTGAGGGTGAAAGCTCTGGAGGGTTTGAAGTCACTTCATTGGGTAGTGACCAGAAATTTTGTTAATGAAATAATTGAGACATTCAGAATGCATTGCCTGTGATAAAGATAAGAGCATTAATGCAAATAAAAAGCTTCAGAAGACACCAATGATGTCAGGTTCGGGTTCCCGGGATCCTGAGACCTTCAGCCGAGCCTTCACGCTCACGAAGCCACCCACTGTCAGGCCCCCTGTGGAAGGCAGTCAGGGGGGTTGGGGTCTTCTCTCTCACCCTCACCCTTCTCTCAGACCCAGGTCCCTCTCTCTGGCACAGAACAAGGGTCCCTGGGCTGCCCCCTATAGCCAATCTAAGGCTGCTGGGCCTTAGGGCTCCTGTGGGCTCCGTGGAGCTGGAGCAAGGGCACATCGTGCACACTTCCTAACCGTGCGGGCGTTGCAGTGCCTGGGGTCCACCACACCCTGGCAGCCTGCTGGGCACCACCCCAGCATCCCCTTGTCAGTCTGGGACTCCTCACCGTGACCGAAGGCTGTCCTTTCCCTGGGGTCCGACATCGGCCCAGGTGACCCAGGAGATACTGGGTGTTCGGAACAGCTCTTCTGGCTTCCTCGTGAGCTCACACATGGCTCTGAAAGAACCCCTTGGGACCCACCCTCAGTGTTGACGTTTGCTGACTTAGCCAACGCCCCAGAAGTCAGGAGACTTCCTTTCCACACACTGAGTAGCTGCCTCAGGCCAGACATAAGTGAGGTGGCTCTCTCCCCGGGAATGGCCAGAGGCCTGGGGCTGCCCATTTGTTCTAAGACCTAACAACCCGCCCCTCGCTTTTTTTATACAGAATTTTTTCACACTAAGGAAACGGATGCCAGAATACCATTGCTGAGCTCAGGGCCATAGCATTGGGGCACATTTCCAGTTTACTTTTCTTAAAGTTAAAAAGTGGGGTCTAGTGGGCTTCCTCGGGCAGCCCCTGTAAGATCCCTGATGTGCTGACCACCCCCATGTGGTCCTGCAGGGAACATCTGCCCACCCCAAGCCTGTCAGCACCTCAGAAAGCATGGTCCGTGTCCCGGGGCCACTGCCCTGCTTAGAGCCAGGCTAGGCTGGCAGCCAGCCCTTCGGCACGTTCTGCACCCGCCTCCCCGGGGTCCCCAGGTGCCAGCCTCAGGCCTCAGTGGCCCTGAGACTCCTGCGGTTCCGGTACAAACTGGACTCTTGGTCTTGTCCCCCAGATGCGGAGAAGGGAGGCAGCCTCGTGGTCGGAGACTTTGAGATTGCGGCCAAGTACGGTGAGTGGCTGCTGCACTTTCCTGGGTGGGAAGGGCTGGAGCTGGAGGCAGGGACGCTGTCCTGTCTGAGACGCAGGCTGCGGTGCTTGTGACAGGCAGTGGCACCAGAACTCCTGGGGTGGGCTCTTGATTCTGGCAACCAGATGAGTGTTCAGAGGGGTGAGTACAGAGTTGAGAGTACACTTGGGTCACCATGCTGGGCCCAGACCAATGGTTCACCACCTCCCGTGTGGCCCCAGGCGGTGGGGAAGGGGGCCGCCCGTGTCCCCAGCCGTAAAAAATCCTTGTGAGGAATGGACTCCCTTGATTTTACTTTTCCTGACGCCTCTTGCTGTGGTTCAGGTTAACCCTAGGAGCGATTTCCCCTGAAAGTGTCCCAGTAAATTCAAAATTGTCACCAGAACTGGAAGAAGCCAGGGCCCCCGGATCAGCAGAGCCTGGCACATGAGGATGAAGAGCAGGCTGGCAGCCAGCCCTTCGGCACGCCCTGCGCCTGCCTCCCAGGATCCCCAGGTGCCAGCCTCGGGCCTCAGTGGCCTTGAGACTCCTGTGGTGCCGGCACAAACTGGACGCTTGGTCCTGTGCCCTTGGGGTGTCACAGGTGTTGGCCCTGCAGCCCTGAGCCGTCTCTTTCCTCGCCATCTCACGCCCCAGCCGAAAAGGATAGGAAGCGAAGGCTTGTAAATATTCTGCTCTTCGGTTGCCATTCCCAATTGCACGTCGAAAGAGTTAACCTTTGTATGTTTCTCCATAGAAAGTCCTTCTTCCTCCCCAAAATGGCTCCTAAGCTTTCTTGTCATTTCCGGGTTTGTCTTGTGGACACTGGGTGTCCGTGACTCTTCAGTAGGCAAAGGTGCCCAGCAGAATGCTGGGAAGGCTATGGGTGGGTTTGTCCATCGCCCTGGAGAACAAGAGTAGATTGTTCGGAGCGAGTTTTGCTGGTGTTTTCATTCCTCAGAAAGCCCAGGTCTGCGTCCGGGAGAGGTGTCCATGTCATGGGGGCAGAGGTGTGGCCTCCCACCCATGACACCGGACGGGCGGCCCAGCCCCTGGCGAGTGGCTGGCCTCAGGCCCGCCCCTTGGTGTGCTCTTGGTGGGTGGCGGTCCGGCTCCGAGCTGCAGGCTTGTTTAAATCAGCAGTGAGGACCGGGAGTCCACACAGAGCCTGGTGCAGAGTAGACACCTGGAGTGAGTGGGTCTGCATACACCTACCCCCACCTCCCACCCCACCCCACCGCCACCCCGGGAACCTGACTGGGAACTGGCTCTCTCATCCCCAGTGTGCCGGACGGCGGAGACCCGCCCACAGAGCAACCCCTTCCTGTGCATGGATCTCACCTACATCAGCTTGCTGCTCCGAGAATTCGGCTTCCCGGGAAACAAAGTGCTGAAGGTAAGGGCTCGCCTCCTGCGCCCTGTACCCCTCACAGCCTGAGGGGCCAGGACGCTGCCTCCTGCCTCCCACCCAAGCCATCCTTTACCTGTGTGCATGGGCCCCTCTGCCCCTCCCTTTGTCTTCTCCAGCTGACTCGGAAAATAAACAACGTTGAGACCAGCTGGGCTCTGGGGGCCATTTTTCATTACATCGACTCCCTGAATGGACAGAAGAGTAGGGCCTCGTAGTGGCTGAGCTGCCTGCTGTCCTCAAGGTAGTGGCTCCGTCTCTGCAAGAACAGGCCCTTTGGGAACTCTGGACGTGTTGGGCGGAGGCCACAGCTCGGGCCAAGACCCTCCTCCCTGCAGCCCTGCAGCCCTGCCCCTGGATGAGCCGAGGACTGGAACTCAGCCCAGGCCCAGCACTCCTCCTCCCTGCCTCAGCTCCAGGCAGGCAGCGAACCAGATGGGGAAAGAGCACCTGCCGAGGCCAGGTGATGTAGTCCCGCCGTCCCCACGCTCCCATCTGTAGGGTTGGGTAGCTGTGACATCCACTCCTGGACTGGAGTCTTGTTTTGTGCCCCTGCCCCTGTCTACACCCTCTTCCCCAAGGCGGACCTCCACCTTCTCCCAGAATCAGGGCGAGGTTTTGCAGGCTGCCCTACTGTTCAGGGTGAGCCGAGTGAGTACGCCCGTGCCCTCTGGGACAGTGGGCCCGGCAAGGCGCTGTGAACTCTGCACTTGAACGTGTTTGTTCCTCCTTGGGTGTGGATGCGTGAAGTCATACAGAGAACTGTTCCTCAGTCTTTGGATGCCTCAAGGTTAACCGATGGAGTTGACACTGTGAATAGGAGGAGGGGCTGGGGGAAATACCTCTTCGTGGCCCTCCTGTGCCCCGGCTCTTCACGAAAGGCTGAATGTGAACGTGAACTGCTGTGAAATATTTATGGTTGTGCTGAGTGAGTGATGTCTCTGCCAGGCAGTGCTGAGTGCTTGTGTGGCCACTGTGTTCTGAGCCCCAGTGAACATACCGCTGCTGTGAACCGTGTGCAGCCAAGCAGTGTCAGGAGACAGGAGCTCCAGGGATCAGCCGGTGGATCAGCCGACTGGGCTCAGCAGTCGCCAGAACTGCCCCCTGGAAACTGCCCTCTTGTGGCTCCTCCCCCTCAAGCTCCACAGGACGCTGGCTCCGCCCTCCAGGGTCTGCACTGCAGGCTCTGTCAAGGGGAGGCGTGGGCTGCGTGCTGTACAGTGTGGCCCCAGGTTTGCAGTCGTTCTCGTGAATGTATAGTGCACAGCAGAAGCTGACCTCATGTGTTCCACTCAGAATAAAGGTTTACCAGTTACCAAAAGTTCCTGCTGCTCTGTGCTTCCTCTCAGTGAGGATCAGCCACGTCCATCCACCCAACACGGGCAGGAAGGACCTGCAGTCCCTGTTTACTCGAGTTTAGACAAAAAACTCGTCCAAGTTGGGTGGTAGGTGGGGGCACAACTGAGTGCTGTCAGTTTACCTTGTGAGGAGACCACAGCAGAAGGACACACAGAGGCCCCCACTAGGCCCTCCTGCCATCCCCTGTTAGTGACTAGCCCTAGGAGGCCCAGGCTGTTCTAGGGTCTGGCCAGGGAGCCCCTCACCTCCCCAGCGTCTGTCAGAACAGAGCGCCCACCTCTGGGACCGTCACCACAGCACGCGCCAGGTAAGTCTTCACACACATCACCCCGAGCAGCACGGTGGTCTCGAGTGTGTGCCAACTCCGGGTGGCAGTGTGTTCAGTGAGGCCCTGGCTTTAATGGGGGTCAGTTGGAAAGGAGTCCAATGTCGAGCTAAGACTGGATGGACTCCAGCCTGATCACTAGGTGCTCACTGTGAGGTCTGATCAAATAATCGAATCAATACCCCCTCCCCTGGGAAACTGACCTTGAGGTCATTTCCCAACCGCCATTTCCTTTCGCTTAGACCACATTCCACTTACTAAGACCAGTAACTTTTCCCTCCGGACTTGCCCAGGATCCGGACCCACCCAGAGAATTCCCTGCCAAAAGAGCCCACCTAGAGTCCTTTAAAGTCTCTGACTCCCCATCTCTGGGTGCTGGCGCCATTTAGGGGCTCAGCCCATCTGGTTTCCAGATGATCTAATACATTTGTGCGTGTCTCCGTTGGTGACCCTAACACTCAGAGCCCTCTCACCTCTCAAACCTGACAAGGAAGCACGGGGTCTGGCCCCTGGCCTTCCCAGGGCTGCAGCAGGGCCAGAGCAGGCCCGACCGCTGCATAGTCCCACGGGGTAGAGGCCCATGGGCGAGACGAGGCCCCTGCAGGAAACAGGGTAATTCTGCTCCTCGCCTCCCAGAACCTTAAATTCCCAGTGGGCAGAGACAGGCGAGGGTCCAGAGGTGAGCCTTTGCGGTCTGAGAAGCACTGGGCCTGCGGGACACTCAGGGAGGTGCCCACCTTTTCGGAGCATCCTCCTCTGGTCCGAGCGGGGTGGTTATTACCCCAACTCCAGGGGACCACCTGGACACAAACCACTGACAAAACGAGCCAGCTCTGCCCTGTGGTTTCCCAGGATGTAACGTCTGGGGCAAAGCTCTGGAGCTCTGTGTGTGACACAAGCAGGAAAGGACAAAGCAGGAAGGAGAGATGCTTCCATTAGTGAAAAGCCACATCAGGACTAAAGCTTTGGAGGCTTTTGCTTGACAAGGACACAGAAATGGCCTCTCCCCTGCACCTCACCACCCCTGCCTTGGTAATCTCTCCCTAGCCCTTTCCTTCCACAATATCTAACAATTTGAATTGAAGAGCCAGAGGCAAGGAATTAAAGATGCATGAAGGTAAAAGTGAAAATTGATTTGGTCCATTTATAGGAATGTTTGAAGCAACTGGGGCTGTTCATCCTTGTAAGTCACAATATCGCTGTCCTGGAAAGAGAGGCTTCAGGGTGGGTGGGAGTCCAAGAGCTGTCTTCAGTATTCTAAGGATTGTCAGACCCTGGCCTTACCTGTGTTGCTCCAGAGGGAAGTTCAGACATGGGTAAAAGTGATAGGAAACCCGTTTTCAGGTTTCTGTCTAACCAGGAAAGACATCCTGAAAGAAGACGGGTAACAGAAAAGAAGACTTTATCTTCAGGATGGGAGGTCAGAGCCAGGCACCGACACCTCCTCTTCATACTCCACATCCTTGGATTTGCCTTGAAAATGACCTTGAACACCATGGCCAGGTAAGCATACCTAACATGTCACATCATCTCTCACTTTTGAGTTTAAATAAGACAATGGCTCGTGTTTGTAGCGTGCTTCCTGTGTGTCCCGCATGGAACTGCTGCTCTTTTGTGTAACCAATGATTGAATTATCACAGCAGCCCAGGGGGCAGGTACTAACTAGTCTTTGTGTGCAGCCGAGAAGCTGGGCCTGAAGGAGCTAACCATTAGGCCTTACATGTAGCTGTTTGTCAAAAGCAGGTCTCTCCACTAAAGATTCAATTTTCACAGTAATAATGAACTTTGCAATATTTAGAAAAATAGTTATACAGTCAAGAGAAATAAAAACTAGCTCCAGGCCTAGCTGTCCTTTTATCATTTTGGCAGCCTCTGATTCTCACTTTCCAGTGTTAATTGATTGGAGGATAGAGATTTCTGTGTAAGAGGTTGAGTCCAGCCCTGTCAGTCTTCGTGTCCGCCTCAGGATTCACATAGTTCGGAAGCAGACATTCCTCAACAAGGCGTCCTGTCTCGAGAAGCCCCTCGAAAGGTCAGGAGAGGCCCAGAGCTGCATTTCTGTAGCACAGGACACACCTCCAAAGGCCCGAGGTGCTCAGCAGACACAGCCTCGTGATTCCTCCAGAGCCACCCAGCAGGTCGCTTAGGGTCAAATGGTTTGGAAAATGAATATGCCAATGCTCAGAAGCCTGCAAGGACTTGTTCTAATGCAACAAGAAGAAATGGGAATATAAACCAGGGTTTTCAGCTTTCTGGGGGTGAAGAGATTTCAAAGGATTTTTCAAAATGACTCTCCATACATTGGAATGTTATTTTGGAATAAAAAGGAATTACAGACTCACAACATGGATGGAACTTGAAAACATTAGGCTAAAGGAAAGAAGCCAGAAACACAAGATCTCATATTGCATCATTCCATCTATATGAGGTGTCCAG